ATAGCTCAGTTCTTAGCGAAGATGGGAGAGGTGACCACAGGTTACACGCGCATCGATAGAAGCACATGTTGGACCACCTTTTGTAAATTTCAGACCACAAGTTGGAAGTGCACAGTCCTGCGTGACAAGGCCGTAGTAGCCCTTTAGAGAAAAGATTAATGGAGGTACACGACCGAATTTCGTTTGGTAACACAGTGTGCACGTGAAAACTACCAACATGTACCTACCAGTGGCGAATGGAGTAAATTCAGGACTTGTTTTTATTGTAGAAAACTTAACATTGGTGGAACACAAAGACAGGGTTACAAGCGTAGATTATTGCGTTTCCATACTCTGCTATTCAAACAAATGTCAACGCGAAGGTTTCATAGAAATTTCGTGTAAAAGAACCAGTTGTCGTTCAAGTCTAGTCGGAAAATTCGAGTATGGGCTATTCATAACCGAAAAGGTTACACTGTTCGAAGCTAACAACTTGGCCTTGATGTATTCTGAAAAGCCGCAATCATGTATCCAACGGTATACAGCGATTATTAATAAATAACAGCTCCAGTTAATCCGTTGCGGCCTAATTGTTCAAATCTCACATTGGTAAATTGTTGAGAAGCACTGGTTGCCACCCTTCTAGTGGTGTTGATTTTTCCACAGCTATGTGGGCCACACGAAAAACGCAGTCAACCTGCATATCTCTTCACAGTGACCACGCCTTACTGTATCGAAATGCTGCGATCGAGTCGAATATGCGTTTCGGCCGCTATAGAATAAGTTCGCATTTCCTCGGAGTAGAAGCTGCGAAAAATCGCTTACTTCTCCGAAACTGGAGAGGCCGTGCAAATAACATATTGGAATACATTTCAATTCATCGGAAAGTACAGAGTTACTGGAAAAATGAGTGGATTCATTAAGTGCCAGCTATCCTTTGCATTTGAATCGGACGGGTCACCGTCAATGTTATCTATAAGAATCATCAACGCAGTTGGACTGAGACATTCACATTCACGTATCGCAACACACCTCCTGAGCACAATGGGGCTACTTGGCGCGGAGCACAAACAGCAATACGGGTCGATGCCCACAACCATGAACAGATTGTGGGCATTTAATATGATTAGTTTGCTATATGAGTGCCCTGGTCCTGCACCACAGATCACACGACGCATTCTGATAACTGATCGGATCACCAGGTGAGTTGTTGTTTATGCAAGGACGGTGTAAACGCGATTCCAAGAGGAGAATCGCGAGGGAGGAGAATTCAAGAGGGGAATTACTAAAATGACCACCTTCCGGCCAAATTACGAGACCAGGAGGTGTTCAGATGGTGTTATGAGATAACAACACCACTAGTCGGATTCGCCGACTTTATCTCCAAAGAGATGCGTTTTCGATGCACTGAATCGACGTGTTAGCAGCATTTACTAGACTGAGGTGAAAGCAGGGGTAAGCAAAGCAGTTTGTGTAGCTTGCACCAGGTAGAAAGAGGCCACAAGTGATCGTTTTCAACCCGTTCCAGCATAAATCCCCCTAAACGCATGATTCGTTGCCAAAAAATACAAGGAAATGGGCACCAGACCTGATCTAATGAGTGGTCTCATCAAGACAGCGTCACATAGCTTCATTGTTTCCATTCGCGTGTGGTGCATCTAATAGTGACGAATGACGGTTACTTTGAGTATCACCAACAAATGCGTACCAACCTAGCTGGTTCTGTGCCTGATTGATCGGCGTCTCATATCATAAATGGTACAGAAACCCCCACGTGAATTTAACTCGTGACTGAATCGAATGCGTGGACCACAATGGCTCTGCCAAGTTTCACGCCAGTCTACATAAGGCAATTGTCCGTCTTTCCACGCCATTAAATGCGTTTGATTGTATCCCTGCGAAAGACACAGTGGGAGCCTCGAAACCTGGGATAGCCCCTTAAAAAATGAGCTGTCTGCACAAATGCTTGCTCACCACATGAGAGCCTCAGGAAGTAGAGACCAACAGATAAAGTGAACTTACCTCAGTCAACATACTGTAAAATTGTCGCTCTACACCAACAGCAAATGCGAAATTACTGAGTGCGTACTGGCGGAGAAAGTCCGAATATTCGGGGGGTTCAAAAGAAGTTTGTGAGTCATCTGCAGCCTCAGTGTCGGGCATGACCAGAAGGCCCTCCTGAGCGTCTCGTTTCCACGTTAAAGTATCCGCATATCGGCTTTCCAGAGCCTTGGAAGTCAGTTCAGCTTTTGTGCACGTATCATCACACACCAAGAGCTTCAGGGGTTCTCCAGTTCTTTCCTTCAACTTGAAACTACGGTGCGGTTCCCCAGAGGACTGCTCTTGCAGGGCAAGGGCATACAGTTTGGACTGCACCTAAAAACCAACGGAAGGTGTACTGACCAATATGGAGCTACAGATATTCTCAGGTCAAGTATCACATTGACAAGGAAGTGCTGAAGGTGGATTTGTAACTGTATACACGATAAACTTTCACTACTATAGAAAGATCTTTTCCTATAAGTGAAGCCAAAAAGCACTGTGCAGCTATTTCAATCCTTTTGGGAACCATCAGGAGTGCACATCTGACGAAATTTTGGGGAGTTTCGAAATCGCGACCTCTTGGTTAGCAGTTCGAACACCTAACCGTTCGGTTATGAGCGGTGATTAACTCGCACATAGACAATTAATCACCCCACTGCCGCTCGTGGGCGAACGGTCGAGTGCCCGACTAATAGCCAGGAATCCGCGAATTTGAAAGGCCCTGGATTTTCGTGAGATGCGTACTGCTGACGATTCCCAAAAGAACAAAAGAGTTGTATAATGCTCCCCGAATTTTTAGCGTAGACTGGCTTTAGTTACAGGACAGAACCTTGGTTGAATCAACGACAGAAAGACCCGGATGACTCCAGCATCAGTTCTACACAACCAATCGGTTTGTGCATCGCACATCTTGAGAAAAAAATTATACGACCGCACATATTTTCGAATTCAGATTGCCTTCTGGCTTACTAAAAAACAAGCGTATTGTGTGGAAATCACATGTAACGCAACATGCGTTTTCACGCTGGGGTGTCAACATATCTCAAAAGAAAACCGAGAATCGCGTTGGTAAGTAACCGCAGTAGGTAATGAATCCAGTGGAAAAAGAATTAACTTCTCAACTTTTGCTACGAAGATATGTTTTCAAAGTGAATGCGGTCGTTTGAGTTGGAGAGGAATATGTTAGCGCTCCATCAAATGCAGAGGAGTATTGGGAATAACATCATCGCATCGACTGAAATATGCCTGCCTCTGTGATAGTGTGCCAGCTCCAATTACAGTTGCCTGTTTGACGATGAATTAGAAGAGTGCATTGACCATTTTGGGTCTCAGTTCTCTATACATCAACTACGAATGGTCTTCGTGTACACGTGAATATCAACTATCACTCCAAGATCTGGCCTCCTGTTTACCGACAGATACTGAGTGCGGCCACCTCACTTCTCCAACATGTTCAACACGTTAAGAATTCAGTTTAATGTGAATCTTATTTGGATCATTGGTTTAACTATGACAAGTTAATTGTGAAATGTACCTTGTATTCGAGCGCTTCACTGACTGTCATTCTCACCGCTTCGAACCATCAACCTTTACTGTCACCTTGTTAAATGAACCGTAATTGGGTGGCTGTATTATTTTAACACAATTACCAGTTTCCAGTAGTACTACGGAGGATGAACGCTGTGACAGGGATTTGTATATGCCAGCGACGCGGTTAGGAATTTTCGATTCCGTGATATGATAATTATGGAATTCATCCCACACTAGGTTGGGGACGACTTGTTCTCTATGAAGCGAAATACCCTGGCATTTGCTCTCTGTATTCAGGCTTTTGAACTGGATTTTGGAGGATCTTAATCATCCTCCTATCTAGGCATAGCAGTCCTGACAATATTCAGGCCAGAACAGATCTTAAGTCACAACAACGGTCTCGGGTGGCGTAATCAGTTTACTCAACTTATTGGCAGTGGGATGAGCAAGTGAGAAACCACTCCTTCACATATTCTTTCTTTTCGCCTCTCATAACTAATTACTAATCTATTTTTGGGTCCATCCGTTGAGAATGGTGACTCAATCTACCCTAAATCACCGTTAGCTGCGAGAAATGCGCCTAGGTCTGCGCCGAAAACCTCAGAAGCCTCGAATTCGATTTTTGAGTCTAAACACCAAGTCTACCTGGCCGCCTCTGACACTCGCACTTTCAAAGCAGGCAGGACAACAGACCGTTCCAGTCCATGCACTGGATTTGCTTGACACTGGTGTACGTTTCGAAACGCTATGACCACTGTTGAACCTACTACCTCGTGCTTCTCCCACATCAGGTTGTACATCCCTGGTGGCTAGATGCCACTGCCACCGGCTGCACAGAAATCAGCGTCATTCTAATTCACCACGCGAAAAGATCCTCGCTTGATTGGATAGGTTAATAGTCGGCCGGTAGCAGTTTGACCTTGGAAATTTTGTGAGCGAATCTCGTACACAACAAAGTGATTGTTGCAGGCCTATCGCGCCTAGCTATCTGTCAAACGAACGCAGCTCTGACACCGTTCACTAAGTGCTATCAGGCTAACAGCTTAAATACAGTTGTGGTGGAAAGCAGAAGGACTTAGAGCTTCGAGTGTAACGACCGTTTCGAATTCTTGAGCAACGAGCACCAAGGTTAGCAACCAAACCGGCAAAACTCCGAACGAATGGCTACGCAAATGTGCTGTACCATAAAAATGAAAGTAGTTACACGGAATACAAAATTACAAACCTCAACGGCTTTCGACAAACGGTGAGGTACTCCAAAAGGCAAGCAAAGCCGATATGGATCAACAGTCAACACGTGACCGAAACCGCGTCTCAAACTCATGAATTAAAACAATATATAGCTGCCCAAGGTTTTGGTACAAAAATAGCATAATCAAAGCGGTAAAAACGATTTGCGCGGTAAGGAAAACGGAAAATATGGATGTCTTGCAAAACTGAAGTAGAGTTCAATTTCACCAGTCCAAAAAGGGCGGTCCTTTTGAATTGTTAACCGGGAAAGCAGTCATACAAGATTGGAAGCAATTTTAAATATATATGAAGTTGCAACATCGAGGACGCAATGAGTTGGTGGACTCGAGTTGGATACGGGAACCAGTGAACAACTACCTCGGCAAACATCCTTTGTGCAGGCCAAACTTTAAATCAGAAACAGCCTGGCCATCACAGCGAGGGAACCACGAGCCTACAACGCTATCAGGTATGGATGGCGTGGATCAGTAGCCTATTATTTCTCCTTTTGGGATAACTGGGTGAAATATAACCATGCATCTGTTTGGTACCGTTCTTTAGGGGCAAAGGACAGACAAGTGACTGAAGGACCCACAGGCCGGAGTCAAATGAATTGATCATAACTGGACTCGCTTAAAAACCTGCGTACCACCAGATGTCAATTCGTGGTGGGACGCGATTGGAGCATCTTACGCCCGAAGTTATACCTAAAGGCAGCTCCGCTCAAGCAGTAGATGTCAGACACAACAGTTGTATCGCTTGAACCTCGAAGACGTGTTCTTACCGGTTTCAATACAATTCAACCCAGCAGTCAGACGTTGGGTGGAAAATTGTGCATCTGGTGGCCGAGAAGTACTAGGAATATAGAAGGTTAGGGAAATAAAAGAAACGACGAGTGCCGGGAATTCATTAAACTTATTCTAGTTAGCCCGCACGATGCACCATCAAGTCAGTTTGATCAAATGATCCTCAACAAAGGAAGCATCTCAATTAATGGACAGAGAAATCTGAACCAAGATTCTCGCCTTCTCTTACTCCCAAAAGGCACGAACTCCGTTCAGCTTCGTTAATTTATTACTGCATATCTTCTTTCAACTGTCGTCAAAACGCTGGTACGGATGATACATTATTCAGCGATGGGAGTAAAATCCTCAGACAGCTTTTATCTGAAAAGAAACCGTCTAGACGACTAGAGTGAGTCAACTGTCA